TTACCCCACTAACCCTGTTTGCGTGACGTTGTACCTGGTTTTATTGCGGTCTAATAAACATCTACTATCGTCACGGCTTAGTAATTTATTTGTATTGTAAATTGTATGTTATTGTATGTAAAAAATATTTACTTATTTTATTTATTAATTTATTCTTTATTGAACCTTACACAATATATAGGAACAAAAGGCGGACTTAATGCTCAAATCATTTTCTGCCAGTGAAACTTTCGTCATGATACGTAATAAATAACGTCGAAAGCGGTTACAGGAAAAAGCACTCTAGGAATATAAAAATAACATGGCAACACATTATTAAAACTAAATTATCACGTGAAAGATACTTAGCAATAACTTAACGTCCTCTAGATCGAATTTCGGTCACAACGTCAAGTCTCAAAGGAGTCTAGACATCTGCGCAGGACAGGAATATATGTTGTACGAGTGTGCGTGCAAGCTCAGGATTATTCTTAACCCCTAGAGGTTTATATGCTAGCATTGTACTGGATAATGTAACAAAATTATGCTTAATAATTTTTTTTGAAAAAATCTCCATTCCCTCACTCTTATAGTCCTATTGAATGTTAATTCGACACTACTAGAGAAAGATAAGGCGCAGGACCAACCGACTTTACTTTACTGAAAATTTCATGACAATTTTTTGTCAAGAAATTTAGTAATCTAGTAACTGATTTTGGCCCGAACCGGGATTCGAACCCGGGGTCACATGATCGTAAGTTACGCTAACTACCACTAAACCACAGTTTACAAACGTTTTTTAGAAATCAATATATAGTTCAATTAATTCAATTAAATCAATTTTTACTTTTTGAGAAATCAATTCGTAGCTTCATAAGTCTTTTCTCGTTAAACAATTACTACATAGCAGTCAGTGCAGTTTATTAAAGGTAAAAGTGCTACTAACGCAGGCATTGCACCTTTTTTTGCACTTGGATGCACAACCGGCTCTTAGCGTAAATAAGTAAGAGAGATAGATGGCTTGTCAAGCAGAAAAGAAATCTTGTCCTAACATCAAGTATAGCCCGTACGGATAAAGAATGGGATTGTATATGGCGGCTCATCGAGCCCGTACCGTCAACATGCACAATACAAATAACGTAAGCCCGCTAATGACCCGATATGTATATATATATATATATATATATATATATATATTCGATATAATTCAAAATTTTATTCAAGCAAAGCCAGTCCGCGTCACTAGTTATAAAAGTTATTTTAAAATTAATGTGTCTACTTGTGTATATTGCATTCAAATATTTTTCCATTAATAGAAAATTACCAATTAACCGATTAATAATAATATACCTAACGCTTTAATTAACATAATAACATTAGGTATATTATTATTATTATTCTGTTAATTAGTAATTTTCTATTAATGGCAAAATATTTGAATACAATAAACACAAGTTTTTTCATTAATTTTAAAATAACGTTTATAACCAGTGACCCGCACTGGCTTCGCTTCAATAAAATTGAATTATTTATAAGTATAGATTAGTAAATTATTCACGAGGACTCTAAAAATAAAGCAAAGTATTTCATAAAATAAGTTTATATTGATTTAAATAACAGTCAAGAAAATATTTCAAATAGGTCGGACAGGCAAGAAATTCTTTTTGACATTTATTTTTCACATAGTATTTTATATAGTAATCTTTGAAAATTAAATTCTGCTACTTAATTTGATTGAACTTGATAGTAATCTTTGTAAATTAAATCGTGCTTTTCCATAAATGGAGTCAACCTAAATAATTTTGATCAAAAATTAAAAAGGCTTATAACATTTCCTTAAACATTTCCTGCAGAATCAAACGTGCACTTCGCTACAAATATTACAAAAATTAAACCCACGAGAACAAAACTAAATATACACGTTTTAGAAATATCCTTAAAAAACTAATTTTACTGACAAAAAAGCAAGTAAATCACAACTACGTACTAAGCTAAAGAAATAAAACTAAAGTCACTTGGAATCTAATGAAACAAAGTAGTCAGAAACATCCAATCTTTATTGATAAACTCACATCCAATAATCAAAACATACAAAATCCAATTAAACTAGCTACAACATTTAATCAGCATTTCATATATGTACTCCATTAAACCTTACGAGAATCGTCTGAGAACACTTTGATTCTGGACATTCCACCGTTATTTTCATGATCGTTGTTAGAATCGGAGCAGCTATCGCTTTTACAGCCACTGTTCAGCCCAATAATAATTATAAAATATAATAAAAAAATAAAGCGAAATACACCGAAGCCTAAATCACGCTATCAACATTCCGAATGGGTTTGTGCATAAACAGTATATATAGAACATCTCCGAACTATCACTCCGAGTGCTGACCGCTCCCCGGGCAGAACACCTTGCCCGGCGGGAGATCTCCCCTTTTCCTTCCACGGCCACAGTGGTGACCATCCGACGTGATCTGAACACGCAACCAACAACCTTCGGAAACTTCAAGCTTCATCATCGTCATAAAAATACCCCACCCATTCACTCCTGAGCAGATATCGTCTGCAGTCTTCATATCCTGCAAGCCATCTAGCTTCACAAGGTTCATCGCAGCACTGGAATAATAATGCTTCCTGTTCCTTCAAGCTACTCTCTGCGCTATACAGTGTTTGGCTCGGCTCTGAGCCTTACTGCTCGCCTCTGCTTCACGGCACTCTCGCAGATTACTTGCCTTCTTCTCGACTCAACGCAGACTACAAGGCAATCTCCTGGCACTTGCACATTCGTCGACAACGAGACTGCACTATCAACCTCCGGTCTGAGCAGGGGGTGATGTGGCGGCGCTGTCGTCGCGCCACAAGCGAAATCCACCGAAGCCTAAATCACGCTATCAACATTCCGAATCATAAACAGTATATATAGAAGATCTCCGAACTATCACACGGAGTGCTGGCCGCTCCCCGGGCAGAACACCTTGCCCGGCGGGAGATCTCCCCTTTTCCTTCCACGGCCACAATATCATTTTCATTCGTTACCTCCCACGTCTAATAATCATTTTTCAATATTTTTATGGGATTAACTTCTTTTCGCCATAGATACAAGAAGATGAAAAAAAATCGTTGAAAAATTCATTTTTTTTTCAAGATTTCGCTCGATTTCGTTTCGTCGACCATCATAGTTACTAATAATTAAAAAGTAACAGCCCTGCGACAAAGAGGCAGATAGACTCGGTAATAAGGTTCCGTTGGGCACTACGCCGGTTAGTGGTGGTGTAAGAATATCTACTACAACATATCACGACGTGGGTGTCGTAACAGAGGGAAACAAATCAGAAGATGGGCAGCAGCATCTTCCTAATAACGACTAAAAGTTAAAAAAAAGTGCGGTTGCCAACTCGCTTGCGAAGCGTGGCAACTATGGCAAAAATCCCCCATATGAAACAATCTATAGGAGAGGCTTATTCAGTAGTGGACTTTAATAGGATTTACGGGACGACGTGTGTCTCACACTTTGGGTACGGAACTCTAAAAACGGCCAACGCTTGAAAAAGCGAATACAATATTTTAGATTTATTATTTTATGGCACACATAGTCTGTTCGAATCACTGATTATGAAGAAACGGATAGCTACTAGATAAACTCGGTACTCACCATCTTAATTAATTCTAGTGACAATCCTGTTGCCATATCCGTCCTTGCAGTGCTATATTGCTATGGGTGATAAAGTTTCAGATTTTTTCTTCCTCAAAATACTTTATTGCGTTATATACAATTTTACGTGTAGGAATATGTAGCACTTTCCTTCGTTTATGTGCCATTGTTAAAAAATGTGGATAAAATAATAAAAGAAAGACACCAAATAACGTTATACTCAAGAAAAACGAAATAACCAACAACGCATTTTCAATAAATAATAATCAAAAATAAGAACAGTGACTTAACAAAACTATTAACAAACTCAACAATAATTATGTCAAAAAAACTCTCAGAATGCGTCTAGCTAATTTGCGAAACCGGAATATTTTTTTAGTTTGTGTCATTTTATTACCATTTATGCCAATGACAAGTTGAACTGAAGTTATAGCACGTACTAAAAACGCATATCGCAACATATTTTTTTGTAGTCTCTAACGACGGGTGTGAGTATAGATATAGGCAGTGTACAAGCGAGAGGTAAATAGAGGCGACGCCATTTTCAGTCCCATTCTTTAACCACATGAGTAGTAGTAGTAAAATTCTAGAATTGAGTTAACACCCAAACGAATTTTTTTTCATAAACTTTACTATTCTATAAATATCTGCAAGTATCTTCATATGCGTTCGCTCTTTCTTAAACCAAAATAACGTTTAAACAAGTATTCTCGCTACACAATCCTCGCCAGGCACAAACGTCCTAGCAAAACCGGAACTACATCTGTGTTAAGAAAATACATTTACTCGTATAACACTTTATAAATCATTATAATTAATAAATGAAAACTTCCACTATCATTATAATTAATAAATGACAACTACCATGCGGATGACAGGATTATATGTGTCTTTATAATACAAATATTTCTCGGACATGATGCGAGCTTGTGAATAAACAATTAAAATTACACATATATTCTGTGGCGTCACCAAAGTCACCATTGGCACCGGAAAAGGAGTTACTTAAGTTCTATTAAATTCCTCCCTTTTATCATTGGACCAGTGGATGTTACCCCTTTGGATACTAAGTCAGTGCGCGATACCATCTTTGGCTGCATCACCACTTACCACCTGTAGTAACTAAATCACCTCAAAAGCTTATAATAGTTTTAAAAAAAGGCCTAACCTATCTGTTTATTTGGCACAAATATACAAACTTTTATACTAACAAAATATTTATAAAATAATAATATAAGAATAAGCTAAAAGATTAAACTGTGTGAATTGAACTTTTTAAAACTATACAAATCAATAAAACATATAATATTCATAATAATAAAATTTGTAAGATTTATAATAAAAATAACATTCTATTTTCGCAGAGATGGCGGTTTTAGCGGCTCCGGATCATACAGAAGTGAAGCAGGGAGGCGATATAACATACCTGGACATGGTGGACGAGAGGAAATCACTTGGAGAATCTCAAATACAAAAACTCTTTGCTGGTTCTACTATATTTTTGACGGGCGGCACCGGTTTCCTCGGCAAGCTGTTGGTTGAGAAACTATTAAGGTATGTGATAATAAAATAATAGAGAAAATAAGAGGACAGAATGTTTTACATATTATGTTATAAGTAAAGCGACAAATCAAATCGCAAAACGACGCAATGCCATCGACGCTATACTTATGTCACATACTGATTAAGGTGACAAGTCGTTTGTTGGTACAATTATTATAAACTAGCTGTTCCCGCGACTTCGTTCGCGTGGAATCAGTACTTTTACTATTCTACGCTTCTCTACTCACAAACGAACTAAGATACAAATAAGGCAAACTGTACGCTTGTGTTTTATTTTGTAAATAAACAACAAAATGACCGCAATAACGTAATTCGTAATTTGCTCCCGAATTTCTTTATCCAATACTTAGTTTCTATACAACAAATAAGATATTGCCCTAAATAAGCAAGCACCATCACTAATTATTGATATTAAATAAAAAAATTGAAATGAAAACTACAATCCAATGCCTATCTAAAACTAAGTACCTACACTAACAAAATAATGAAATTGCATAAGTATCTATATTTAAAAAAAAATTTTTTTTAAGGGTTTTTTTGTCTGTTTCCGATTTTTTTTGTTTGGTGTCTCATCCTGCAAACAAAAAAAAAATGAAAATAAGCTCAACCTAGGATTTTTTTTGACTTTTAAGTAATAGGTGTGATCGGGCTTAAAATCAGTTGGGTTTTCTATCAAGAAATTCTCAGTAGCAACCCGGAGTCAAGAGTTTAGCAGTGTTTTATCCCTATGCCTCAAAAAGCATTAAAGCCGTTTTATCTGTATCTGATCTCACTATATTTTTGTCGGATTACTAACTCAGACACAATGATAAATAAACAAATTTTTTTATATTTTGTATATAATGATCAATAGGGGCAGATATTTGTAAAGTTATATAATAGGAAAGTATTATTCATAATTTCGTTTTACGGATTTCCCCACCACCATGCAGTTGAAAATTATTTTTTCCGAGCAAACCATGTATCCTATTAGGATATTAGAAAAAAAAAAACTAATTGCATTATTTTAATCCTAACGTATTCGCACAAATTTTAAAGCTACAATAATCATTTAATAAATTTTTCCGATACCAATATGAAATCACCCCGTAAAAACATTCTTAAAACCTTATTTTACTATCTAAGGATTTTAATTTATCAATACTTTTTTCTTAGTGGATGCCTATTTAATAAAAGGAAGTTATTGTTTCAATTTCACTCATCTACGAGCGGTTTGAGCTGTTGATTTAATACAATATTTTTCATACAAAATTTGAACCCTTGTTTTAAACCCGAAAAAAGCCCCCTTCTCCCTCCCCCGGTAAGAGGTTGTTTTAAGAAATATAAATGTAATAAATATTTTATTTCCATACAATATAGCATACACTCTGCCCCTGCGCCCTCTACCTTAACGGGTTATTTTGAAATCACAAAATACGTATTTATTTATTTTTAAATACAGTACTCTCAGTAGGTATCGAGTCAATTGCCCTGTAAAATATTTTTGTGATAAAAGAATAAAATGGGATCGAATTTTCCAAAATTATTTCATAGCGAATTTCTACGTCATAAAAGGTTAAACCTAGAGTCCAAATTGTAGATTTCTACTTCAAGCGGTTAAGGTAGTTACTCAGTATAGTTTAGTATCTATGATTCAGTATATAAAGTGTATATTATAGTATATACACATTGACCAGTGACATCTGTCGGTAAGTGGCAAAACTAACTTTACGGCAAATTAAATTTTATTCTGTTCGTTTTAACTGTGTCCAATATAAAATGTTTATAAATGCTATTTGCAAACAAAATAAAAAACTTTTGGAAGTACAAATGTTTATTGCCAAGCTTCCATATGATTGATATGATCCTTGCCGAAACCAAAAAAAAACTGTTAGTAGCTCTTTCAAACTTTGATTTGCCATGTTGTAGGTACTCGACGATTAAGAAAATAATTATAAGCACAGCTTAAAATTTAATAAATAATTTGCACAACACTATTTATCGATGATATTAGTTAACTATTCTACTTTATTAACTAAGATATTAGGGTTTATATATTTTTACAAATATTTATTACGTTATTATTTATTATTTTTCTTTACTACTTTTGGACACAATCATATCAATTTAGAACACTATTTTACATTATTTAATTACAAAAATGTCCTTGATCACTCAATCCACCATTGAACAAATTCGAATACTATATTTCGTACACATAATTCAGAATTAATCATAACTTTTGATATGATGAACCAATTTTAATAAAACAAAGATTAAATTTTAAACGAAGATATGCTTCATAATTTTCCTAACGATTATTTTGATATAAATCAGTACTTTATACATGATACGGTAACAAGCAAACAGACAGACAGACAGACAGGCAATTCTAAAAATGATATAAATGTATTCAGTTCCTTATTTTTGGTTCCTCTCAATCAATTTTGTTACAAAAATATAAAATGTACAGGCATCTGCAATTTACATTTTTATTATATGTATAGATTGATATTCATACTCCGCGTTGTTTCACATTGCATCGTGTCGCCTAGTGCTTTTGTAGACCTTATCAACGACTGGAAAGGGGAGATGGTTATCTGTTTTGGTACTCAAGTTGTTATTCTATGCATTTATCTGTGACTTAATTATTATTTAAATAATATATGGTAGGGGTTTTAAATTTTTTTTTACGTGGAAACCTTATTCTTTTTTTTGAAATAACAATAGCATAAGTTACTTCTTATCACTTCAGTTTTTTTCCAGTGAATCACTTAAATTTTATTTATTTGTATATTGTAGAATAAATATCGTTGTCTCATTACTGAAATGCATTAAGTATTATATTATCGAAATACAAAATAGAAGCATGATTTAAATTGCTAAGTTTATAAAAAATAGTCTGTACTAAGACATAGTGTATTAAAGAATTAAAGAATCAACTTCACAAGCTATGATTTTGAAAGTATTTCATTCTTTTTATTATATATAAAAAGCTTATTTTTTACTATTGTATTTACTTTGATTTTTAAGTAATATCACGAGCAGTAGTATTAACTAGAATACCGTCGAAATACAATAAAGTCTTCATCCCCCATTTTTCCACCTTTGAGTGTGTAATTTTTTCCTCAAATTTAAATGGCATTACCACACTACCACTACCAGAGGTACATTTAATAAAAAGAATTATTTAAATCGGTTGAGCTGTTTCCGATAAATCGATGAACATAACAAAAAACAATCTTCCTTTTTAGAAGGCGATTAAAAACTAACTAGAAATAATTGCCCAGTATTTTGACCCGAGAAATAAATTGTATGGAAAAAATATACTTTATTGAGTGACAAAGCAACCTTTCAATCAAGATTGGTACCTATTTGCTACTTACTTAAGTATTTCCGTCGCCAAGCAGGAATCCAAACATATCCAAACATTTATTTTAGTTATGATGGTATTATTAAGTTAAATAGTTCATATTTTGGAGGTAATTCAAACATGTCTAACTAGATCTAGCAATTCATAAAGCTAAACTCTACAGCACTGAATGAAAACTACGTAATATCAACTTCCAAAGTACTATTCCATGGACCGGGATTTATTAATTTTAGGTTTCCAATTAGTAAATTGGCGCATATTATTTTCACATTTGAAATATGTAAGCCAAATACTACACGAAAAGAGGAATCCAAACATCAGTTTTAGTTTGTGACCTGAAACAGGACGACATCGGTAGCCTTTTTTGTTTGAAGTTGGCTTTAAGTGTTCATAGGTAACAGTAACTATTTGACAACAGGTGAATTCGATCGATTTTTTTTACTGTTACTCCGTTTACTATATATTATAAATAACGTATTAGATATAAAATATTTGAATGCAGGCCACTATCAGGGAATCCTTTACACTATCGCGTTCTTCGTGTGAAATGAAAGTCGAAAAAAATGTCTAATGTTAAAGAAAAACAGGGCATGTAATTTTTATTCCAACTGTTAAGAAGACATGTTAGTTGCTACCTTGACTTTGTAATTTTACTTAGTCCACAAAAAGATAAAGAAAATGAAAACGAAAAAAAAGTGAAAAGCGGCTTCAAAAACTAAAAAGAGTGAAATAATTTCTAAGTAGCTTAATAGCTTTTGAAGTCGGGACTTCAACTTAATTTTATTTCGATACACTATATTACAGCACCTACCTAGAAGTATTAAATTATGTGGCGATTATTTTTTTCTTTTAGGTTTTTTGAAGTCGGCTGTTTTTAAAGTTCAATTTGTTGTGTTTTCCCTTTCAGTGGATTCCTATACCATTTATCTAATTAAGATAAAACTTTGGTGAGTTGTTAAGAGCTCGACTGCAAATGTTTCCGACAAAAATGCAAAGTCGCGTACATCTAGTTCCTCTTTGTTCTCCTCGTCCTACTCAAGAGCGCATCAACTGCTGCCAGTTAGCTGGAACAACTTGCAGAGAATGTCCACTCGGTGCAAATTGTCGATGGTTAAGCAGATCTCCTAAAACTAGTAATGTTGCCATTTAATACCAATCTGTGGCATAGTTGAAAGTATACTGTCCACTGACGATAACCAATACCTAATCACTAATCTTTATACATTTTTTTTTTTCAAAAATGTAAGACATAATATCATCTGATAGGGATATTCAATCATAAACACCAATATCGAGGGACAGAGATTTTAAGAGAGTCTGAAAAAAGTAATATTAGGGGTTCATTGACCTTTTTTTACGAAGTGGGCCTGCCACGGGCAGTAGCGACTTGCCGGCAGGCAAGTTATTAGGTCGTCCTTTATTGTATTATGAGAAAATAACGATCGCATCTACTGCAATCTCCTCATGACTTTTGAATCTTTTTTTATAGGATAGGGTAACAAACGAACACACGGTCCATCTGATGGTAAGTGGTTACTGCATAGACATCTACATCTATTCCTCGATTACGAAATAAAATGCAAATGTGTTGTCACCCGTGAGGACTAAGATGGAATGCCTCGTTTCCAGTAAAAAGGGT